ATGCTGGCCATTACAATTATTTTTCAATTTAGCCTCCTGAGATTTCTTCAAAATGATAACGCATTTCCTAGGTCACACAGCCTGCAGCTAAATCTCTGGGAGCTCGATTTTTATCTTCCTTATTCTTGGAATCTTTGGTCCTCTGAGAAAGTGGAATGTGCTTATCATAGTCAACAGTTAGAGAAAGCTTTACAAGCAGATGCAGCTGGCCTAGGGGATAATATTCCTCCTTACCAAATGGCCCTCCTCAGAGTTTGTGTGAGCTTTCATACAGATCTCAGCCTAAGCCCTTTTGTTGCTGTGTGGATCACAAGGCTCGGAAGATGTTGGGCATCTCGTAAGGGTACCCAATGGCTCTGCAGCTGTAGTTACTCCTGGGATGGGCTGACAGAATATACTAGAATTTCCTTGAGTGGAAGTGACAGGTTGAAAATTCTAGATCACCCTGCTAATATGTAACAGCATCTCTAGACCTGGAGTGTTTTCCCTTGATATGACTATCTAGCTTCCATTTTTAAACCATTTATGGTACTAGAGATCATTTGACATATTGAAACTCCTAATAAATATACTTAGAATGCTTTAAGTAGCACAGCCATTTAAATTTGAAAGGAATGTCTGTTCTTCATTCTGTGGTCTAAATAACGAGAAAAGCAATCATACCAAAACCATATGAATTTGGATAGCCTCACTGCTGCTCAGAGGGCATTTTTCTAATATCAAGGTTAAATGCTGTGCATATGGTTCTGATAATTCTACTAATGTCCCATCTCCTTTACATGCTCTCTAAAATCAGATTCAAAGTTTGGCTGCCCAAACAAGGACAATACCAACAGACTTTCTAATATGGAAGTGGGAAATCTCATAGTGGCCACCCCTCAACAAAGAACTGCAGAGAACTAAGGAACGCTGACAGCAGAGGACAATTATTCTTCCCTGGGGATGAGCCCCTTGATTAATTGTCGAGTTCGAAACGACCAGCCCTGGAATCATATACTGCAAGCAACACTGGGCAGATTCAGTCGGTTGCGATAGTTATGCACATATATAACAACGGAAGAGAAAGAGGTCGTGGATTGAGAGAGAGCAGGAGGTGGGGCACATGGGCGTGGTGGAGTGAGGGAAAAGGGAGAAAATGATGCAATTATATTTTAAAATAAAGATGTTGAAAAAAAAAGTATGTCAAACACTCCCATCCTTTTCTGCAAACAGCTTTGAAATTGAATCACTGGATCCTCACAGTGGAAATGGGTGTGACTATTTTCTTAGAGCTGCTATTAGTCTTTGGAGCTTATATACCTAACTTGGCCCTGACTTTCTCTCCTCTCCTTTACAGTGGCTTCAACTTCAAAGGGTCCTGTGTCAGTTTAACTCCATGTATTTGAATTCTATTGATCATCCACTGAGGCCTGAAAGTAGCAAGACTAGGGAGCTAACCATTCTATCCTCCATTTTAGCCAGACTAGCTCAATGCTCAGCTCCCAAGCTATTTTATGTAGCTGGTTGTTTTTACTCTTTACTTTTTGGGGGCCCACCACCCAGATCCCAAATAAATACATGGAAACTTAGCTTTTTCTTATGAATACCTGACCTTAGGTTGGTTTGTTTCTAGCCAGCTTTCTTAAATTATCCCATTCCTCCTCTTCTACATTGTATCTCTGGGCTTTTTACCTTTCTCTATTCTATATACCTTTCTTTACTTCTTACTCTGTAGCTGGCTGGGTGGCTGGCCCCTGGTGTCATCCTCTCCTCTTTTTCTTGCTCCTCCTTCTTTCTCCTTGTGGAAGTCTTTGGGAGTCCAGCTTGGACCAGCTCCCACCTTTTGAAGGGTTCTTGGGTGGAAGAGAGAGAGATGAGGAAATGATAGATAGAAAGATTGCTGGGCATTAACCCACCAACCCCACAGTTCCCCCCAGAGTTTTCTTGAGTGTGAGCAGCAGGAAATATTAGAAGGATTTAGATTGTGAAGATAAACAGAAAATACAGGATAGCCTCGAGAGGGCCTGGAACCTACTCCAATGGGCTCTGACTGTCTCTACCCCAGGGTATTTATAGAGACGCCAAGGGGTGGAGCAAAAGACCTCCCCCCAGCACAGCCAAGTGCAGACCATCTCAGACACCTGCACTCAGGCCCGTGGTCCTAATCATCCTCTCTATGCAGACCTGCTGGATAAAGCCACGAGGAACTTGAAAATGGGCTCCCACAAAAGATAGAAAGAGATGATAAGAAAGACAGAAACACAGGATAGCTTCAGGAGGGCCCTAGGTCAATACCCAGCTGCTGCCCAGAGCTTTATTCAAAGGGGCTTTTTATAATATGCCAAGGGGAGATGCAAAAGACCTCCCCTTTGCAAGATCAAAGCCTACCATACAGCCAAGTGTAGACACCTCCAAACACCTGGTAAACACACCTGTGACCAAATCATCTCATTATGCAGCCTGCTGAATAAAGCAAGCCCAGATTCTCTGACCCTGAGTAATGTCTCATTAGATAGCCCCTGTGGGCCACCACACCTCCTTTTCTCCTTCTATTTATTCTCTCTGCCTGGTAGCCTGGCCTATCCCTCTTCTGCCTAGCTATTGGCCATTCAGTTCTATATTAAACAAATCAGGTGTTTTAGGCAGGCAGAGTAACACAGCTTCACGGAGTTAAACAAATGCAACAAAAAAGAATGCAACACATTTTGCATCATTAAACAAATATTCCACAGCATGAACAAATATAACACATCTTCAACTAATATTCCACAACTATTTTAGGCTCTTAACTCTTAAGGGGAGAATACTGGATAGCCAGTTGTGTGTTAGCAGGCACAGAGTTCATTGAGAATAAACTACTTCCTCATAATCAGCAGTTCTTAAAACCCCAGACTACTAGGCTCTTGATTACCTTGTCAAAAGAATAGAATCTAAATCATAGGTCTGGCCTGCGTGGGTTCTGAACTTCATGGAAGTTCATGAATAGATAACTGTCTAAACCTTGCAAGTTTATTATCTGGCCAAAGACTTGTTGACAAATAGCAAAGATAAACTCTTGTCTCCTCCTTCTGGATGGATACGGGAATACCCTTGAAGAGAAGCTGTCTGTTCTAGAGAATTTAGAATAGTATAAATCCTGCCAAAAATGTAGGTTGTCTCCACTCTCCAAAATGCTATCTTCTGTACTACAAAGAAAACACGTGAGGGAAGTAGCCAGTTAAATACAGGCTGTGGACAGCCCACCCAAAAGGTGTTCCAGTTTCTCTACATACCAATGATATTCTAAAAGGAAAGGCAGAGATTTAAGATCCATAATCTAATGTAAGGTGTGGACTTTATTTAGATAGTGATTCAAATAGAACAGTTGTAACACCACATGAGAAATTAAGTATGAGCCAGGTATAAAGTGATATTGTAGGATTAAATGCAATAATATAAGTATGGAATTATTAAAACATTTATCTGTTATAGATGCATACTTGATAAAGGTGTATCTCCTTATGCTTTAAAAGACTCCAGGAAGCACTATGCACAGACACATAGACCAACATTAGCACACTGATATGTATTCAAGCTGTACTGTAAGACATTCATCAACATCATTCCTTTTAATTTTGGAAATTTACACAATAAAAAGCCAGGCATGAAAATAATAAATAAAAGGGTTCCCATTCCATTTGATTAACGTTCATTATTAAAACAATGGAAGGCTGGAGTATTTAAGCTGGACATTTTATTTGGATTTTTGCATATACCTTTCATTAGTAATTTGACTTCGGCCATCTTAATATTTAATGCTTTCATCTGCTATCAAAGAAGCTAACAAGTGACCAGGTTCTCCATTTAAATAACAGAAAAGTCCATCAGAAATGAAATGTTAATTCTAACACTCAGTGAAAAGGAGGTGGTGGTGTGTACTTCTGCTATCAATGAGAAGGTGAGCTTGTGGTTCTTTCTGGTCACTTCCTGAATTGAAGACTGGATAGATACCAGGGAATATTTACAACCTCCAAACTCAAATTCCTCATGGAATTGGTTGTTATACTTGTCAACACTGCCTAATTCTCAGAGTAGGGGGGTGGTAATCACCTCCTGGGTTTGCTTAAAGTGGTTTCTTTATGTACTACCGAGTAACTCACTACTTAACAATATTATCTCTAGTTACTCATTAATTAACAGTATTACTCTTGGCTGGCATTAAGGAGCAACAGAGATTTCTCTGGGAAAAGCAAAAGACAGAGCAAAATCAACTTGGTATTCTCGTTACATACTTGAAAATGCGAGAACCAATAGGAAGTATTGGAACACAGGGTATTACGATTCTAAAGTTTGGAGACGGCCTCGTAAGCAACATCATAGCAGGGTGGAAAGAATTGAATCTCACCCTAGACTTTCAAAGTTTTCACAATGAATCATCCTTATCAAAGCATTTAATCCGTTAAGTGGATTTTATTTACATTTTCCCCCAGAGAGAGAGCAAGAAGATGGCTCACATCCTGAAACTCTAATTTTATATCATTAAAACGTTTTCAATGAAATGCATTATTTCATAATTCATATTAAACCTTAACCACCTTGTCTGAATTACTTAAAATTTTTAAAATGCAATATGATTTCTTTTCTTTCCAAAGATAATACCTCTTTCCAAAGATAACATCCAAAAATCTATAGTGGCCATCTTCCAACAGAAAAAAAGGAAAGACAACAAAAAGAAAAATTAGTTCACATAAATAATGCCACAGGGCTAAGCCCAGTATTTCAGCTGTTTTTTTCCTTATATATTCAGTTATGTGGGTAGGGATTATAGGTTCAACTGCAGTTAAGACAATTATTTCTTCATACAATAAAAAGCTCCAATATAAAGAACTATGCTTTGGGTTTCGTCAATTACAAAGGTGATTCGTATTGCCTCATTGGGCTCAGCCAAAGATGTAGATTAAATGCCTCTCATCTTCCACATTTGGGTATCTTGTTACAGTTGGTGCCTCTTACCACGCACCCCTCTCTCTGAGCTTGCTTACCTACTACAGCCTCAGTGACTTTTCCTTCTGTGGGGAGAGGGAAGTACTGGTTTGGGGACACATTGCTGCCATATCCCAGGAGAAAGCCTTCCAGCTTTACATTTGGATTTGGACGCAGGAACTTCAAGAGGATGGAGTCGCTGGTGGTGTTGATGTGCACTTTCAGGTTCGGTCTCTTACCTGAGGATGGAAATACAAGGTGAGTGTCTGATACATCACCCATTTTCATCCCTCAACGCCACCCCACCCCAACCCACCCCCAGCAAACCTTGCCTGTTGGAAGCATTATCCTTAGAACAAATGCTACCTCTTTTGCTTCTTGGAATCATAGTGCAGATGCAAAGCTGACCAAAACATGAGTAATGTTAAAACCAAGGAAAATGTACTTACTACTGAATAAAGCAAAGCAACATAGAGGGGTCCGAGTTTTGGTGGTTTGTTACTGAGGGGGTAAGTGGAGTTTTGGGGAGTTTCATTTTTCTATCCAAAGTGGGCCAGAATCTTCACTTTATACACATTACCAAGATATGGTGCAAAGGAATGAAGTTTCTTGTTGGTAAAATTTAATCACTGTACCTTGAAATATCTCAGATGCCCTGCACATCAGATATTTACATTACAATTCATAATCATAGCAAAAGTACAGTTATGAAGTAGCAACAGAAATAATTTTATGGCTGGGGGTCACCCCAACATAGAAACTGTATTAAAGGGTCTCAGCATTAGGAAGGTTGAGAACCACTGATTGAGTATTAAGAACGCTAACCCCTCCGCATATAGAAGTTACTATATGTTACTTCTGCTATTAATTCTCAACATACCGCGTTTTATTTGGCCAGGTTAGTCACCCTGCATTCTAGAACAGGTAGTTTGTCCTGACTCCGTCACCTTTGTTGATTGACCACTCTATAATCCCTCAACCTTTGCCTGACCTTCTCCACATCCTTTACTCATCCAGTTATCACTTCATCGATCCTCAGTGTCTAGCAAAAAGGTGAAACAGCCTTTTTCCCTTCATTCAAAATAGACGTGTCAACATTTCCTCTAAATTATTGTTTATGTTAGTATTCAATGACACTTTATACTTCTGGATAATTAATGCTCTAATATTTGGGGCCCATATCTCCATGCATCACACATTAATTTTAACATTTAATGATAAATCATCTTTATGATGAATTATTGTTTGATTCCATCATGGATGTTCAACCTTTTGACACTGAAATATAATATTGTCATTTACAAAGCATTCGCTCAAACACTGTGTCATCAAGTTACAAAAAAATACATAATGCTCTAGTAAGTGAGTTTATGATTTTTGGGTTGGTCTGTATTCATAGCTGTCTTTGGCCCCATGTGGCCATAAGGCCACTTGTTAGACACGCCTGATGACTTGGGGCCCAATTTATGTAATAGAAGTTATCTTTTGGCATTTAGTCATAGTTAGATTTCTGGCAAGTAATGTAGATAAAATAGAAGATAACACACTACAATATAACCTTAACCACAACAACACATAAATAAACAACAAATATGTTACCCAAAATTTTTTGTTCAGAAGTATGAATGGGGGAAAAAGAATACTAGAAGAACATTTTATTTCATGTGAGAGAAAATTTTAAAAATTAGGGAAACAATAATAGACTGCCTTGGGAAAAGCTGCATATTGGCAAAGAGCATTCTTGGATTCATGACAGTGGTTTCTAATTCTCTATTTGCAACACCCTACAGTATCTCTAAATATTTCAAAGTGTTGTGAAATTCTAAAAGCAAATAAATAAATCAAATGTCTTACAAAGCAAAATTAGAATTAACTCATTTTTTAAAAATTTAAAGGTAAACATATGCTTTCCAGCATTAAAAACCGGGGGTGACATTGGAAAACTGGACAGAAGAAGGAGACAACATCGTCAGTTCAAAGAACTCTGGGTCATCAGACCAACCAAAGGAGGGAGGCTGCTGGCTTCTGGGGGCCGTGGAGAGTTCTACTTCTTTAAAGGAACAGTGTGGCCTGGGATACAGCTCAGTCACTGAGGGCATGCCAGAGTTCAAGCAGCACCCAAACAGAACAGCAGCAACAAGCCAAAACCACTATCAATAACAGCAATACCGCCAATACCACCACCAAAAACCATGCTTTGGTAAAACTAGCATAGCCATTATAGCTGTCTAGTCATGGACCTCAGAGAAAGGAATCACCATTAAAATATAGTCAATAGAATTTGTTTCTTATCTAATCTCTCATTAATCCATCTTATACTTTCCAAAGTCTTATATACTATAGACAAAGTCGTTGATATCATGTTGGTCAAGATGATAAGATTCTTGAGACAGAAAAACTACACCGTATTAAAAGTCTTCCAAAGGTAAAATATACGTATTAGTGTAGCAACAGGAATTGCCTTAGCTTATATGATCGCAATGTTATAATACCCTGTAAAGAGATGATAAATATTCCAAATTTTCTCAGGGCCTAAGTAAAGAATAATTGTAATACTTACATCAATAAAATAAACTCATTCAAGGACTGAGAACACACTCCACCTGTCCTCTTATGGTTTCATCTTATACTGCACAGTGTACTTACAGTATAGTCTCTGTATATGCTCTGCCATCTACCTTGCTATGAAAACCTCATACTTTATAAAATAGTTAACTAATTAAATCATTTCCTATAAGTTCAGATATGGTATCAGAAACATAGATTTAAAATCATAGCTAATTAGACTTGATCAATTTTTCCCGATTTATTTTAACAATGCTTTTATTTATTCTTTGAGAATTTCACATCAATATATTTTGATCATATCCCTTCCCCTCACCCAACTCCCAGATCCTCCCCTACCTCTTGATCAAAATTTTAAAGCTATAAAATTTTAAAAAGCTAGAAAGAAAAATGAAAGTCCCATGAAGAATTTGTATCCAAAATTCTTAAATATTCTTTATAGTCAATTAAAAAGAAAATAAAAGGCAAGCAATTTAAGCATATTTGAATCGTTATCCTGATTTGTTTCTCTGTTGCTGTGATAAAACACTGATCAAAAGAAACTTGGGGAGAAAATGGTTTATTTCATCTTACATTTCCAGATAACAGTCCCTCACTGAGGGAAGTCAGGGCAGGGACCTGGCGACCAGAACTGAAGCAGAAACCACAGGGGAATGCTATTCACTGTCTTGCTCTCTCTGGCTTGCTGAGCTTGCTTTTATAACCCAGGACCACCCACCCAGGAGTGGCACCACCCAAAGTGGGCTGGGCCCTCCCACATCGTTAATAAAGAAAATAGCACCACAGTCATGCCCACAGGCCAATCTGATGAAGGCAATCGTCAGCTAAGGAATCTTTCTCCCATGTGACTTAGCCCGTGCCAAACTGGCAAAAGCTAAACAATGCAAATGGATTCTTTAGCAAAAGAGATGAGTACTGGGCAAGAAGCATGTAAAAATGTGTTAATCTCTGGGGTTATTGAGTCTCCTCCTCCAGAGGCCAAACTATTTTAGGCTTTGAAGATCGGATGGCTCAGTGGTGTGGTACCATTGATTACCAGCACAGTGAGTGCTGCTAACTACTCAAGCAGGAAGATCCAAGTTCAGATTCCCAGTACTCATGTAAAAATCCAGGTATGGCTGGGTGTGACGGGGACCCCAGGGCTGGCAGGAGATCCAGTGGCAAAGGCAGGAAGATCACTGGGGCTCACTGGCCAGACAGCCTAGCCAAAACCAAGCAAACTGTAGACCCAGGGAGAGGCCCTGCTTCAAAGGAGGAAGGCAGAAAATGGTAGAGGCAGACAACAGACATCAATCATCCTCCAGCCTTGGCATACCTAGGCATGTGCACACAAATGGGTACCTCACACACACACACACATGCATATACCACATTTACACATACACCACACAGATAGACAGACAGACAGACAGACAGACACACACACACACACACACACAC